AGGGGAGGGGAGGGGAGGGGAGGGGAGAGGAGAGGAGAGAGGAGAGGAGAGAGAATGAGAATTGAGAGATTGATTCCGTCCTCTGCCCCATCCACCAGGTAATCCTAAAGGAAAGCACACCATAAGCGCCTGTGCCCTAGATTACTTCTGTAGCCTCCACCCAGCTCTGAGAGTCTCTGAGGCGAAGGGATATTTCTACAAGAAAAGGTAACATTTCTCCCCAGAACATATTTCTGAACAAAAGGTTCCCAAGCCTAAATACTGGAATACAATGACCATAATTCAGATACTTCCCAAGCCTTCTTAGTTTTCATTCTTCTAAGAATCACTTTCTCTTCTTTGGTTTGCTAACCTTTGTTAGCAAGCTCCTGCGATATGTGTCTGACTCCATGACCAAGCTGAAACAAGATGACTTTAGAGACAGAGTCTGTGCCCTATTCTCTCCGGAGAGCCTGCAGGCTTTCCCAGAGCATAGCAGTGGGAGTCATCTTGGTGGAGGGTATAAGAAGAAGAAAGACTCAGGATGTGTTCCTTTTCCACTGGATTCCCACCTATTATGACTTCAGTCTTCCTGCTTAGTACCACATTATTATTATTATTATTATTATTATTATTATTTTAATGAAAGTTTACAGAGATTTAGGGTTTCTAGTCATTCATTGTTGCACTTTTCTCCCTGCCCACCTCCACCCCCCAATTCACTTTTCTCTTTGATAAGTAAAAGAAAAACTCTTTCATTGTTATGCAATCCCTCCCCCCAAGTCCACTGCACTGTGCAGGCTTCATTCTGGACTCCTGTCATGACAATAATACCTAATCATATATCCCTTTTAAACAGTTCTCTCCCTCATCTGTTGCAATGCAATACACATCATTCCTCCCTTTCTTCTGTCTTCCCTCAACCCCAATGTCAGTCCTGTTTTACAATAGTGCTTGGTACCACTCTTACCCCCCCCCCATATTAAAAGTGATCTTGGTTAATACCTGTCAATTAACAAAACAGATGTCCTTGAATAGCCTAAATGTTCTTAACCATCAGAGGTTAAGTACTACTCTCCAAAGGTCAATTTGAACCTACTTAAGACATACCTCAGAAGAAAGGCCTGGCGATCTGCTTCTGAAAGTTCACAGCACTGGAAACCCTGTGGAGTGCAGCTCTATTCTGCAACACATCGGGTCACCAGGAGACAGAATGAACTCAGTGGCAGCTGGATTTGTTTGTTTGCTTGCTTGCTTTGCTTTACGTTTTACTTGACAAAACAGAAAGAATTGGAGCCCATAACCAAGACCTGAAAAGGAATAGACAGGCAAGGACAGCAGCCAGGAAAGGCATTGAGAAACTTGGCAGAGTTCCTGACAGACCCTCCTCTCTAAGTACATGACTGGGGCATTCATGTCTGAGCTGACGGATGTGAGTACATTTGTCTTTATTATCTGGTAAATATGCATGTGTGTGGCTTTCTTTTAATCTTTATTCTTAACTCTGGTTTCCCTGAGCTTTACCCCTTAATGTGGTCACTTTGAACATTATTGGCATAGATTCACAACAGGAAAACCTCTGTGGAAAGGAGCAAGCTTGGGGGACACACAAGGTGAAGATTGGTTCTTCCCGGAACAAGGGTGCAACAGTCCAGAAATTTACCCTGCTCCTATTGACTTAGCCTGTGTTGGCTTAGAAATCAAGGAAAAGAAAACTATTATTTATATCTTTAGTGCCGAGATTCCCTAAGCAAATCCTCCTGGAAATACCTAGTTGTCAGTCTCCCTTGAATCAAAAGATAAAAGGATTAAG